TCAATCAGAAACCAGATGTTTTCCATCAGGATACAGTCAATTTCATTTTTTTGTTGGGATACTGAGTGCTCACCACATCCTGGGCCTTTGACTCTCTTACACAAGAAAGTCTGACTTTTGAGTAAATTATATGCCCTTAATATCTTTCATTTCTCAACTGAAGTCACTGAGTATCAAGGTATGTGTTAATTTGGTCATCTTGTTAATAGTGTATCTTGTTAAGTTCCTTATAAACTCCTCATTCATTTTCTGTAACAGATATTGATGAATAAGCTTTAAGTACCTTCATCACAGCCTTTTTGCTTGTACATCTCACAAAACATGTTATTTCATTTCTTCCTGGCCTTAAGTGTATGACCAAATTAATTACATCATTTAAAAAAAATTTTGATTAATGTATTTCTCCACTTTTGCTTCCTCTCCCCCTCCCAGAGAGCCATCTCATATAACAAATATTTTTAAAAACATAAGAATGAAAAAAAAAATCAGCAAAATTGATCAATACATCACAAAAGTCTAAAGATATATGCAATGGACCATACTTGTGGTCCTCCCACATCTACAAAGGAATGGGGGTGAAGAGTCTTCTCATATCTCTTCTGTGGAGCCTTTCTTATTTTCTGTAATTCTGCAGCATTTGCTTCAGATTTTTTTGGAGATTATTCTTTCCATTACATCGTGGTTATCCTTTTGTAAATGGGGGAAGGGGAGGTCTGCTTACTTCATTCTTTATCAGTTCATATAGATCTTTCTGTGCTTTTTGGCATTTATCACATTTGTCTTTTCTTACACTGCACTAATACTATATATTCATGTACTATTTTTGCTATCACAAAAAGCACTGCTATAAATATTTTGGTGTATATGGTGATTTTCTTGTCAATGACTTCCTTGGGGTATAAGCCTAAGTGTGGAATCTCTGGGTCAAAGGGTATGGACATTTTAGTCATTTTATTTGCATGGTTTCAGATTGCTTCCAAAAGAGTTATGCTAATTCACACCTCTACCAACAACCTATTACTGTACCTGTCTTTCCATACCCCTTCCAACACTGACTCTTTCCTCTTCGGTCATCTTTGCCAATTTTTTGATGTGTATATCTCTTATTATTAGTGATCTGGGGCATTCTTTCATATGGTGTTAACAGTCCAAGATTCTTCTCTTGAAACCTGTTTGTTCATAACCCTTGCCTGCTTTATCTATTGGGTAGTCACACATTCATTTAGATGCAATTTCCTGTCATCTTCTAGTTTCTTTATTTTGAGAATATTGACACTAAGGTGCTTCAGTCCTTCTATTTTTGTCAATTCATGGGTCAGTGAATAAGAATCTTGGAGTTAGAGTACCTATAGTTAAGTCAATGTTTATTTATAGATGATCTAAAAATGGTTATTTTAAGCACCCTCTCCTCTTTCCATCACTGTGCCACTGTTGCAGACATGGAAAGAGGGCCACACAGGATAGAGAGCCATTTTTTCACGGACTGTCATGTACAAATGGTGATAAACGTTTCTGGGCTTAGCTAGATTGGTCTTCAAACAGCAGGCTCGGTCTGCTCCTCAGGTAGTCCTTAACTTCTTTTCAGCATGTCAAAGCCTGTCAGAGGTAGTGCCCCACTGACATTATCTTTGAAATTGAAAATCTAGGGTTGAATTGATAAATGGTCAAAGGATATGAAGAGGTAGTTCTCAGATGAAGAAATTAAAGCCATCTATAGTCATATGAAAAAATGTTCTAAATCACTATTGATTAGAGAAATGCAAATCAAAACAACTCTGAGGTGCCACATCACACCTATCAGATCGGCCAACATGACAAAACAGGAAAATGATCAATGTTGGAGAAGATGTGGGAAAATTGGAACACTAATGCATTGCTGGTGGAGTTGTGAACTGATCCAACCATTCTGGAGAGTAATTTGGAACTACGCCCAAAAGGCTATAAAAATGTGCATACCCTTTGACCCAGCAATAGCACTTCTAGGGCTGTATCCCAGAGAGATCATACAAATGGGAAAAGGTCCCACATGCAAAAAATATTTATAGTGACTATTTTTGCAGTGGCAAAGAACTGGAAATTGAGGGGATGCCCATCAATTGGGGAATGGCTGAACAAGTTGTGGTATACGAATGTAATGGAATACTATTGTGCTATAAGAAGATGAACAGGCCGACTTCAGAAAAACCTGGAAAGACTTGTATGGACTGCTGCTGAGTGAAGTGAGCAGAACCAGGAGAACATTGTACACAGTAAAAGCCACGTTGTGTGATGACTAACTTTGATAGACCTAGCCCTTCTCAGCAATGCAAGGATCTAAGACATCTCCAAAAATCTCATGATGGAAAATGCTATCCACATCCAAAGAAAGAACTATGCAGTTTGGATGCAGATCAAAGCAAATTATTTGCTATTTTTTCCCTTCTGTTTTGTTTTGTTTCCTCTTTCTTGTGATTCCTCCTATTGGTTCTAATTCTGCCTTACAACATGACTAATGTGAAAATATGTTTAATAGGAATATATATGTATAGCCTATATCAGATTGTGCGCCATCTTGGGGAGGAAGGGGGGAGGGAGAGGGAGAAAAATTTTAAACTCAGAAGCTTATGGAAGTGATTGTTGATAAATCAAAATAAATTAATAAAATTTTTTTTTTAAATCTAGGATTGGTTTCATACTACAATGAGAGATAGGAGTAGGGCTCTGTAATGGTCAAAATTAAATATGCGTTTAAATTTTCTTTTTAGGTTATTATGATTGATGGATTCCAACAAAGTATCATTTCCCTCCAAAAATGTGGCCATGCAACAATTTGGAGCTTGATATACACAAGGTAGCCCAAAAGTCTCACAGCAGTTTTCAGCTGCTGGGCCACCCTGTATTGACAGAATCTCTAAATGTTAGTCTGGGGTGGGTGCAGAAGAGGCTTTAGGCAATGCAATACTCCTGATATAAAGAGTGGTCAGAAGTATTTGAAAGCAAAATAGAATTAAGCCTACAGCTACTGTATTTTAGATATCAACTCTTCTGATCTGGACTATTTTAAGGAATACCTAACTCATCCTCCTGACTTGAATCTATCATCCATTCCTAACCCATTTCTACCATTCCTAACCCATTACTACCATCATCTCCTTTTTCTACTCAAGAACCTTCAGTGACTCCCCACTGCCTACCACATAAAGTATGAACTCCTGATTGTGGCACACCATGTCTCACAATGGGGCTCCAACCTAAACATCTGGCTGTATTGACTACTGTTCTCCTTCATGTGTTCAAGGTTTCAGCCAAACTGTACTTCTGGTACTACTACTCCCCAGTCCTATACCATTTCCATGCCTTGGCTCATTTTGCCTAAAATGGATCTTCCGTCATCTCCTCCCTTCTTCCAAAGGCTACATCAGCCTTCCCTGACACTTCATCCCTACTGTCAGGTGAACAGTCGGACTCCCACTGCAAATTTCACATAGACTCATCACAATTTCCTACACATCCTATTTATTTATGTGTCTGTCCTTTCCCCTAATAGATTTTAAGCCTGTTGTCTTTGTATCTCTAGCATCTAGCACCATGCTTGGTACCTAAGTAGGTGCTTAATAAATCCATTTTAATTGACTGATGGAATACTACTTAACAAATTCTTGTGGAATTAAACTAAAGCCTATTTTCACATTAAAATGTTGCCAAATGTAATACATATTTTTGATATACATGTAATCTCATCCTCTGCACTCAAGTTCTACTCTGATGCCTCATGGTGTTGTGAAAGCTAGGTGGCATAGTAGATAGAGCACCAGGGCTGAAGTCAGAAAGACCTGAGTTCAAACCCTGCCTCAGACACTTACTAGCTGTATGACAAGTCACTTAATCCCATTTGCCTCAGTTTCCTCATCTTTACAATGGGGATAATCATACCACTTACCTCCCTTTGTGAGGATCAAAAAAGATAATATTTGTAAAGTACTTAGCACAGCACTTAGCACATAGTAAATGCAAAAGAAATGTCAGTTGTTGTTATTATTACTATGGAAGTGAACCTGGCTACTTAAAACCTACAGCAACAAAGCTAACATATGGTAAGATTCTATTTCAGGCATCTTTTTATTTATTTATTTAAGGCAATTGGGGTTAAGTGACTTGCCCAGAGTCACACAGCTAAGTAAGTGTCTGAGGCCAGATTTGAACTCAGGTCCTCCTGACTCCAAGGCTGGTGCTCTATCCACTGCACCACTTAGTTGCCCCTGGTAAGATTCTACCAAGCTGGAAATGTCCAGTAATAGACAGATGGTCATCCAAGGAGTAGCTGAAGATCATCACAAGAGGCTGGCCATTAGGTGATAATTTTTTTTGTCTGTAACAACTCATAAAACTATTTCTAAAGGGAGAGAGGGTTGTAATCTGCATTGTGGGAATTAGAAGTCATAAATAAAAAAACATAGAAATTTTGAAGAAAAATTGAAATAAATAATTTAATACATAATGGGGGGGGAGACTTGTGTGGAGTTGGAATTTCAGTAATCCCTGACATCTGACATAATACTATGAAGAATATCAACGTTCAGTCAAACATAATCCAGGAAAGTCTGCCACCTACACTGTTATAATGTAAGCTCCTTAAGGGCAGGTATTATTTCATTTTTGTCTGTGTATACCTCATGCCTAGCATAATTTATTCTCTTTAAAAGTTGAGGCAAAATAATTCCTAATTTACCATTTCACAAATTTTTTTTTCCTACACAAGGAAATTTCCATGTGATTTTTAGCTCTTGTTTGAGAAACATTTCAAAGTCTAGCCTAATTACGAAGTGCTCCACTAGTCATGGCAAACTTTCTGAAAAATGATTCTCCTTGAAATCAACAGTATGAATTCAATTCCATATTAATATGCTTGTCTCTTAGTGGAAAAAGCAATAAATAAGAAATAAATAAGAACAATAAGAAAGAAATAAGGACAATAAATAAGAAATGGAATGCAATATTGAGCATATTGGTATAATACTTACGAATTTGTTTATTCTCCTTTGGTAACTGAATTTTGTTGGTCTGGCTACTGCCTTCAAGGACAAAGACAAAACTTTTAACTTCTTTATCAAACTCCTAGAGAATGTAAAAGAAAAAGTAAGCAATACAGGATATTTCCATTTGAATTCCACTATAAAACCAAAGACGCAAATCCATAGACAAAATTCCTCAATAAAATGAGCTGAAATTATAAGGGTGTGTTTCTGTTTCCACAGTAGGCCAAGTTTTTTAAAAAAGTACAAAAATCAAACTAGGTCTTCCTGGATTATACATGGCTTTCATGACTGGATGGTCTCTCTTCTGATGTCAAAATCTTTTTTTCCCACACTGCCACAACATTTCCATTGCTGGAAACCCTCTAATTCCTAACCTGAAGCTCTTGAAATTTAATTCATCCTAATTCTCCTTTACTCTAGGTTATCTACACTTAGTAGAACAGGAATAAGGAAGCCCAAGGAGGTTTCACTTCAAACTCTAACTGATTTGGATGACTCTAGGTTCTCAAAGGCTCTGCCAAGCTCTGCCAGATGCTACAGAGCAGGCAATGGGTTGTGTGCTTATCATCCAAAGACTAAATAAGTTCATCATGGAATAGCTTGCTGCTAGAGGGTTGAACCGGTCAGTGAATTTTTGACTATACCAACTCACAAAGACTAAGGCAGATATTAGTTGCAATCTGCACCGTGGAAGGTGTAACTATACTAATCCTTGAAGTAATGAAAGAAAATTGCAATGTTACTCTTTGCTACTAGTTGTGTGACCAAGTAACATGATAGATTTAGGACTGAAAAGTCCTAAAGTTTAATTCATTACTTTATTTGATCTATCAAATTTCCCTATGATAAAGAATACAAATATCTTAAAAGGTGATTTAGGATACCTTTGACTAATGATAAAATCACAATAAACAAAATTAATCTGGGTGTATTTCAATAAAAGTATACAAGGTACAATAAGTATGATGAATCTAATTTCAAACATGCAAAGTTTGAAAAGTTAAGTTAAATTTAAATAGTCAACTATTATGAAATTAGAATACAAGTAATAAGTTATCTTATAATCAAGTCACACATAGCTCTTATCTTTCACTCAACATTCATATATGATTTTAAATGGGCTGAAATTATAGGTTGAAATTACATTTGAATTATAATACATACTTTCCAAATTACAGATGGACTGCCAGAGATCTTCCATTTTGCTCCAGGATTTTTGCCCTGGGCACTGAAGATTTCAACAAATGGCCCTCCCTGCAAAATAAAGGTAAATAAACAATCAATGATAAATTAATTAACAAGTATTGATTAAGCATATATGATGTGCCATGAACCTGACCAAGCATGGGAGATAAAAAGACAAAATTCCCCATCCTAAAGCAGATTATACTCTAGCTTGAGAATGTGAAAGAGAGTGAGAGTCCAGAGGGTCAGTGTCATTCTTGACCAGGGTGGGGAACCTGAGGGCCTCACCGGGCCGTCTAGGTCCTTGAGTGTGGCCTTTTGAAGGAGTTTTACAGAACAAATCCTTTTATTCAGAGGATTTGTTCTGTGAAGTTTGGATTCAGTCAAAGGGCCAAACTTGAGGACCTAGAGGGTTCCTTGTGGACTCAGTGGTACCCTTAATAGAAACAGCAAAGTTTGGAAGAGGTATGAATTTGAGGAGAATGATAAGTTCAGTTTTGAAAATGTTGAGCTTGAGATGCCTATGAGACAACCAGATCTCATTAGAAGACAATGAATACAAGACTGGAAAAGATGAAGGGTAAAGGAAAGATTTGTACTGTTATTTCTATTATTTTATGTTGTTCTAGAGATGCAAACTATTGTAATAAGAGAAGATAAAGAAATTGAGAGAATAAATATAAAGAGGAAACAAAATTGTTTTGCAGATGATATATTGGTTAACTAAGAAAAAAAATCTTACAGCAAATTTCTCTGATAAACATCTAATAGCCAAGAAAAATGGGGAATTGATATAAATACTTAAATACAAAATCCAGTCCCCAACAGAAAACTGCTCAAAGGATATGAACAGGCAGTTTTCAAAAGAAGAAATGTAAGCTATCAATAGTAATATGAAAAATGGTCCGACTATTAAATAAGAGGAATGCAAAGAAAAGCAACTCGGAGATTCACCCTACACCTACCAGATTGTCAATGATGATTAAAAAAAAGGTAAATGGCAATTTTAGAAGTGAAATGGGAGGAGAAGTGTATTAATCTACTGTTGGGGAAGCTGTGACTTGATCCAACCTTCTTGGAAAGCAAGTTAGAACTATACCCAAAGTCAACTGTGCCTACTGTTTGACCCCAGGCAGATACTGACACATCAAAAAGGAAAGAAGATGGAGAGAAAAATCTCATGTTTGCAAAAATATTTGTCGTAACTTTTTATTACAGCAAAGAACCATAAACAAAGTGGATGCCAACCAAACCAGGGAACAGGTGAACAAATTATGGTATGATGGAATGTTATTGTGACAGAAGAAAAAAAACCAATCAATATTTATTAATCCTCTATTGTATGCCAGGTGCTGTGCTAAGTGCTGTGGATACAAAAAGAGGCAAAAGATTGTTCCTGCCTTCAAGGAGCGTACAATCAAATGACCAATGAACAGATTCGAGAATACTGGGAAGATTTGCAGGTACTGATGCAAATCGAAGTGAGGACAGGAGAAAATTTACACAATGGTTATGGTGATGAAAAGAACAACTCTGAAATATGTAAGAATTTTGATCAATGAAATGACCAAGCTTGACTTCAGAAGATAAATGAAGCTCATGTTTCAACTCTTGGCAGAGAAGTGGTAGACAAAAGGTGCAGAATGAGACATCCGTTTTCAGACATGACCAATGTGTGAATGTGTTTTACTATATGTACCTGTTACAGGGTCATGCTTACTCTTTAAAAACATATATTCCTGTCAGGAAATTTAGGAACCAGCAGAGGATGAAGCTTGGTGGAGAATGTTTACATGTACATCAAATATAGGTAAAAAAGAAGCAATTTTGGTCGGGAGAATATACTACAGACCACATGGGCAGAAAAAGAGAACGTACGCGTTCAGAAAACATCAGAAGCCTGGCTCAGAAAGATAATACAGTGGTGACAGGAAACCAATCAGATACTGCTCACAACCTGCTGGTCAAACATGAGCAGCTAATACTTTCTTGTCTTGGTTACTGATCATTTCATGTTATGAAAAAGTAGAAAAATCAACAAGGGGGATATCTATTCTATATTTGATTCTCATTAACAAGGAACAATTGGCTTCTGGGTAGAAATGATGGCAACCTTGCAGGGAAGCAATTAGTCCCTCTCTTAAGAGTTTGTGATAGCGGAGAGGAAAGCTAGGCACAATGTTATGTGCGCTCTAGATATACATAGAGATGACATCAAAGCGTTCAAGTGAAACATAAGTAGAATTTGGCAGACAAATTCTACAGGGGAAGTCACCCCAGAAGGAATGGGAAGACCTCAAGAGTGAAATACTGAAGACAGTGAAATAATTCTAATGAGTTTGAAAAAAAGAAGAGAGTTTGAGGAGAGTAGTGAGGATGACTGGGAACTCATCAACTAATGAAGTTTTTTTTTTTAAAAGACACCTAAAGATGAAAAAAAAGGCAGGTGATGGATATGAAACATAACCTGCATGTCATGGTGCTGGCTCAATAATGTCAAGAATTTAAGGCTCTGAATACATGAAGCCTGCAAAGAAATGTAATAACAACAAAAAGATGAGCTTTCTTGGGCACACTGTAGAAAAGGTGAAAGAAAAGCTGGGATCACCCGGAAGAATGAAATATGTGAGTGCAGAGAGGGCAGAGCAGCTCTAAGGCTTACTCTGCTTCGATCTGTTTTTTCCTCTGGTGAGGAATGATGGTGGGACCATAAAGGACAGGCCCCGATGCCCAAAGGAGAGCAGATAACCAGAATGGGTAGGAAGCAGAAGAGCACTTAGCTACCCTTGCTGATCTCAAGTCATCTCAAGGGCAGAAAAACTAGCCCATGTGATTAGTCAGCCAAAGTCAAGCAGGAAGGGAAGGACACATCTCAAAATGTGATATTTAGAGAACAGCTAGTGAACGTGTAGGACAGAAAGTCACCATCACAAAGATCCAGCCTAGTTCCCTCTTAGAAGAGTGGGCAGCTGGCAGTGGAGGGCTCTAAGCACCAAGGAGATTCTGGGGCGACAAATGAGCTGGGGAGGGGCGTGGGGAACACGGTCAGACCTGCACTTTGGTAGCTGAATGGAGGATGCATTGGAGTGGTGGGGGACTTCAGGCAGGGAGACCTACCAGGAGGCTACTGCAATAGTCCAGGCATAATATGATGAAGGCCTCCCTCACAGTGGGGGCCAAGTCAAAGGAGGGGGCATATCGGAGAGATGTTGCAAAAGTGAAATCAACAAGCCTTGGCAACACCTTAGATATGAAGGGGAGAGTGAGTGAGGAGCCCAGGATGACTCCCAGGTTGTGAGTCTGAGGCACTGCCCTCCACATGCATAAGGAAGGTGGGGGATGGGGGAAAGGGTTTAGGGGGTAAGATAATGAGTTCCACTTTGGACAGGTTTAGTTTAAAATATCTCCTGAACATCCAGTTCAAGACATAGAATCCTAGAGAACATCTCAAGTTCAGAAAGGCAGTTGGAGATGCAAGACTGCAACGAGGCCAGCAAAGATGTTAAGGTAGGTAGATCTGAGAATCATCAGCACAGAGATAGTACTAAAATCCATGGGAGCTGATGAGATCACCGACTGAAGGAGTAAAGAGGAAGAGGAACTAGGTCAGAGCACAGAGGGACAACTAGAGGGTGTGACCAGGAGTGGTCAGAGAGGTCAGAAGAGAACCAGGGAAAGTCAAGATGACAAAGGACTGAGGAAAGGACACTGGGTTTGCCAATTAAGAGATCACTGGCAACTCTGGAGAGAGTGGAACAAAAGTGCAGGAGGTCAGAAGCCAGATTCTAAGGGGTTAAGAAGAGAGTGAAAGGAGAGAAAGCGGAGACCCCAAGGGCAGAAGAGGTATGGGACAGAAGTGATATGGCAGGATGGAAGAATAAAGTGAGGGTTTTTGAGGATGGGGGAGACGTGGGCATTTTTATAGGCAGTAGGGAATGAACCAGTAGACAGTAGGAATGACAAAAAGGGGCAATCTATTGGAGGAGAAAGGATGGAATGGGATTGTCTGTGCAAGTGAGGTGAACATTAGTAAGGAGTAAAGTCACCTCACCATATGAGATAGCAGCAGAAGACAACTAAGTGATAGGAGAAGAGGAAGAGGGGCCATCCCGACCTTAGAAATTCCTACTAAAGCATTTAAATGTATTTCTCATTCATTCCAATTAGTAAAACTTGCTGAGATCCAAGATCCAAAAGCTAGGTTAAGGGATTTATCATGTTTACTTGCATTTGCTCAATGTCTCACTGTGGCATCAACTGACCCTAAGCCATCTACAGAGCACTTTATCAGGCAGGTTTGCCAAGCTGACAAAGCTCTGAGTATAGGAAGGACATTCTGAGAGGCTCATCACCAAAGGGCCCACCACCAAATCAGAAGGCAGCGATCAAGGCATTGGTAGTAGCTGAGTCCACACCCTCCACAAAGCTGCTTCTCAATGGAGTAAATGCACATTTAGTCTACTTCTGGACTCAATTCTTAGACAAGGTTTTCTTTTTTAATTGCATACACAACAGTGCTTCTAGTCTTCCCCCACAGCAATGACCAACCATCAAAGAATATGGCTGTTTCTTTTTTCAATTCTACACAGAGATGTGTGAAAAAGCATTCAGAGCTCAGTAAAATCTACATTCCCCATAAGAAGCCTAGGGGGTAAAAGTAGGGAGATGTTGATTGACTTACCTACGTTTTTAATTATAAATCACAGGCATTAAACATTGAATGATAACTACCTTTGAGAAAGAGAAGTGTCTATTATAAGAACTTAATGGCACATAATAAGTACTTAATAAAGGCTTGCTGACTAGATAAATCTTTTAAGCTCTGTTTGTTCTTTCAGAGAGAAGAGTTTTTTTCCTCAAGCTGAAATTTTTCTGGTCATCTTAAGATAAAAGTTAGAGACAACTATGAGAGGAAATGGAATTAGGAAATTTAATTCTCCCTCTTTTGATGGTGTTACACGGAGTGGATAATACTGCATTTTCAATACTGGATTTGTGGGAGAATTAAAAGAACACACTAGGCTTGAAAAGTTACCACCACCACTTCCCACCTATACAGAACAAAAAAATCCTCTGGTATTGCTTTTATAATCCACGCACAAGAAAAAAATGAGCATATGGGCCCATTCTCAAGAGTATAATTGAAAGGCTTGCAGAGGTAGCCAGGTGGTGCTGGTGAAGAGGCAGCTACAACAAAGAGATGGAGCCAGGTGGGCGAATCGTTCCCGGGAAGGGAAAGCCCAAGGAGGGAGGTCTTAATAGAAACGGATCAGGCTAGCAGAACAAAACCACAGCCCGGGTAAGGCCAGGTTCGGAAGGGCCCCGGGGGTCACCCACTTCGACCCCTTCATCTAGGCCCAGACAGGTGGCTTGTGCCAGGCTGCACAGGAGCAAGTCGTGGAGCCTGGACTCACAGTGGTCCCCAGTCCCCAGTGCCGGACTTGCCCAGCTGGGCCAGCTGGATGACCTTTCCAGGTCTGCTTCCCCTCTGTAAAACCAAAGGGCTGGCCTCTTGGCCTCTCAAATCTGATGATCGAGTCCAGCCCTCTCCTTCTACAGAGCAGGAAACGAGGCCGGATGGGCGGTGACTTATCCACGGTCCTACGGCACCCAACACTAGCAGGTCTGGAGTTCCTGCTTGTGACTTCGGACCTAGGTCTCTGCCTAGACGGGGAAACTGAGGCACTGGCACCATGAGGCGCGGCGCTGGGTTTGTCTTTATGGGGCAGGGGCTGCTGTTGCCTTTCTCTGTACCCCCAGGTGCTCAGCAGAACGGGAGGTAAAATCAGAGGTGTCGGGCTGGGCCTCGCGGGAGCTGGGTTCAAATCCCAGCCCAGCTATTTACTGAGACGCTGTCTTCCCGGGCCTCAGTTTCCCCTGGTGCCTTTCAGCTCTGGCCCCTTCGGTCACGGGCTCCGGAAGCCTCCACACGCTCGCTTCACTTCCTTGGGGCTCAGTTTCCCCACATGTAAAACGGTCCCTTCCTGCTCTCCCCGCTCTCCCACGCGTACGATGCCGTCCCTGCTCTCCCCGGGACCTCGCTGGCGCAGGCCGGGCCTCAGTTTCCCCACGTGTACGAGGCGGTGCCCCGGCGGGTGCGGGCAGGGGGCGGCTCCCGGTTACCTGGTACTCATTTTTGAACATCCCTGCAGGGAGGGCCGCGGGGCCGGGGCCTCAGAGCGCTGCTCTCCGGCCTCCGCGCCGGTGCATGGCCGCGCCCCGGGAGCTCGGGGGTGAAACCGCGTCACCGGGGCGGCTGTTAACTCTCACACAACAACGCGCCCCGGGAAACCAACCGCATGCCCGCCAGCGCAGGGCCGGGCGGAGACGCGCCCTTCGGGCCCCGCCTGCGAGCGACGCCGCCGGCCGCCGCGACCCCGCCCCGCCAACGCCCGGCACGGGGCGCCGAGGGGCGGGGCGAGCGCGGCGCGCGTGACGTCAGCGCGCAGGCCAGCCCGCCGCGAGCGAGGCGGGAGCCGGGAGCGAGCGAGCGCGCGCTCTGGTGGCGCGTGGACCAACAGCCGGAGTCTCCTGCGCCGCGAGGGGTTCGGCGGCGCTCCGACTGCCAGGGGGCGGGGCGAGCGTGGCGCCGCGCGATGACGTCAGAGCGCACGGCCAGCGTGACCTCTGGAACAGTCAGGGCGCCGGAGGGGGCGGAGCATCGAGAGAGAGAGAGTACGCATGACGCACGACGTAGGCGGAGGGGGAAGAGACGGCGGGCGTTCTGGCAACTCACGCCCACCGCCGTAGAGGCTCTAGTTCTGTTCAGCGAGCCCGGGCACTTTTGAGCATAAGAGCGCAATAACAGTGTCCGTTAGTATAGGCTGATTCTGGACTGCACATATACGATCGGTGTTCAGCCCTTGCTAGGTAGATGGCAAGAATGAAACGAACCCTGCCCTCAAGGAGCTTGCGCTCTGTATAAGAAAAGACCACAATTTTGAGACCAATGTAGATTAGATTAAATTCGGGCCTGCAATTTACAGACGAGAAAACTGAGGCCCCAGGAAGTTAAATGACATAAAGGAACCTAAATCCAGAGCTGGAAGGGGCTTCAGAGGCCTCTGTTATATTACAGATAAGGAAACTGAGACCCCTGGAGGTTAAGTGACTTGCCCTTGGGCATATGTAATAGAAAGCGGTGCCGAAATTCAAACTCAGGTCCTCAGACTCAAAATTCAGAACGCAAAGCACTGAATAAAAAATGCAAAGTAAATACCAAGAAAATGGAGTGTCAAAGAGGTGGATACAGGTCATCTCTGATCCATTTTATAAAGGACCACGTGCAGCATCCCACACCACAGGTTCCATAGCACCTGGAGCAGAAAAGGACTTTAGAGAACGTCCCTGCCCAAGATCACGCTGGAAGCTAGAGGCGATCAATGGATCAGGAAGTCAGGTTTCTTGACTAATCAAGGTAATTTTAGGAGGAAGACTAATGCCAGCTGAGGGGATCAGAAAAAGCTACGTGTAGGAAGCAGCATGAGCTAAGTCTTGCAGGAAATCAGGGATTGGGAGAGTGAGAACTGAGGAGGGAGAGAATTTCAGGCACAGGGACAGTCATTACAAGGTCACAGAGTGAAGCAAAGCCAAGATGGCAGAGTAAAGGCAGGGACCCGCCAGAGCTCTCCCAAATTCCTCTCCAAACAACTTTAAAACAATACTTCAAAATAAATTCTGGATGGGAAAACCCACGAAAGGATGGGGTGAAACAATTTTTTAGCCCAAGATGACTTAGGTTAGCAGGAAACATCTATTTGAATGGAGTGAGAGTGGAGTGTAGTCCAGCACAGGCCCCAGCAGACCTTGGGGGCATGAGCTTTGGCTGTGACTTCCAGAGGGCTCAGCCCAGAGATTGCAAGGGGAAGGGATAACTGGTCAGAAGGAGATTACAGAGGAACCTTTGCTAGCACTGGGTGCAGGACTCTGTTGCAATGCCCATACTCAGTTTTGAGTTGCAGACCTAGGGGGAGGAGAAGCACTAGCACACTAGAGTGTGTGGCCTGCAGGGAAGTAGGGACTCTACTCACAGTTCCAGGGTAGAAAAGTTTTTTGTGGTTGTTCATAGACTAGAGCACAGACCAGGAGAGCAGTGAGAACACCTCTCCTTAGATCATGCCTCTTTGGAAAAACTGAAAAGTTATAGACCCTCAGGACTAGCTCTGAAAACAGTAGCACAACAAACCTGACTGTTGGGACTATGACCCTCCATCCTGGGAGCAGAACTCAACTATAACTTAAAGTTAAAAGCAAACAACAACAAAAGAATTGACCGTAGAAAATTACTATGGTGATAGGGAAGATCAAAACACAGATTCAGAAGAAAATAAAGTCAAAACTGCTACATCCAAAGCCTCCAAGAAAACTATGAATTGATCTTGGGCCCCAAAAGAAGAATTCCTGGAAGTACTCAAAAAGGAATTTAAGAATCAAATGAGAGAGGTACAAGAAAAATTGAGAAAAGAAAAGAGAGTGATGCAAGAAAATCATGAAAAAAGAGTCAACAGCTTAGTAAAGGAAGTACAAAAAATACTGAAGAAAATAACAGCTTGAAAAATAGAATATTCCAAATGGTAAAAGAGGCACAAAAATCCACTGAAGGGAAGCATTCCTTAAAAAGCAGAATTAGCCAAGTAGGAAAAAAGAAGTACAAAAATTCACTGGAGAAGAACTCATTAAAAAGTAGAATTGGCCAAATGGAAAAAATTCACTGAAGAAAAGAATGCCTTAAAAAGTAGAATGGGGCAAGTAGAAACTAATGACTCCATGAGACATTAAGAAACAATAAAACAAAATCAAAAGAATGAAAAAATAAAATAAAATGTGAAATATCTCATTGGAAAAATAAATGATATGGAAAGTAGATTGAAGGGAGGGCAGATTGGGGGAGGGTGGTCAAAAGCAAAATACTTTTGAGGAGGGGCAGGGTAAAAGGAGAGAGAGAAGGATAAATGAGGGGGATAGGATGGAGGAAAATACACAGTAATCATAACTGTGAAGAAAATTTACAGTAAGTTTCTCCGATAAAGGTCTCATTTCTCAAATACATAGAAAACGGAGTCAAATATATAAGAATACAAGTCATTCCCCAATTGAAAAATGGTCAACAAGTAGTTGAATAGGCCGTTTTCAGAGGAAGAAATCAAAGCTACCAATAGTCATATAAAAAAAAAATTCTCTAAATCACTATTGATTAAAACAACTCTGAGGTACCATCTCATACCTGTCAGATTGACCAATATGACAGAAAAGGAAAATGACAGATATTGAAGGGGATGTGGAAAAATTGGGACACTAATGCACTGTCGGTGAAGTTGTGAACTGATCTAACCATTCTGGAGAATAATTTGGAACTATGCCCAAATGACTATAAAACCCTTTGATCTAGCAATACCACTACTAGGTTTGCATCTCAAAGAGATCAAAGAAAAAGGAAAAGGAAATATATGTATAAAAATGTTTATAGCAGCTCTTTTTTGTGGTGGCAAAGAATTGGAAATTGGAATGCCCAGGATTTGGGGAATGGTTATAAAAGTTGCGGTATGTGATCAAGATGGAATACTATTGTGCCATAAGAAAGGACAAGCTGGATGCTTTCAGAAAAACCAGGAAAGACCTGCCTGAACTGACACAAAGTGAAGTGAGCAGAATGAGGAGAATGGTGTGCACACTAACAGCAATATTGTATGATGATCAACTGTGAATGACTTAGCTATTCTCAGCAGTACAATGATGCAAGATGATGCTGAAGGACTTATGATGAAAAATACTATCCTCTCCAGAGAAAGAACTGATGGAGTCTGAATGTAGATCGAAGCATACTTTTTTTAAACTTTCTTCATTTTTCATTTTTCTTTTTTTGGTCTTTTTTCTTTTGCAACATGACTAATACGGAAATATGTTTTGTAGGACTGCACATGTATAATCTATATCAAATTACTTGCCTGCTCAGTGATGGGGAAGGGAGAGAATTTGGAACTCAAAAATTTTAAAAAGAAATGTTAAAAAATTGTTTTTACATGAAATTTAAAAAACTATGTTTTAAAAAGTCATAGAGGAAGGAGAGAGATTAGCATGTGTAGAGAAGCGAGGAAGCCGAGATGATTGAAACACAGAGAATGTGTGCAATACAATAATGTAGTATTGGTAGTACAATAATGTGTCCTAAGGATAGAAAGGTAGGCTGGAACCAGGTTGTGAAGATATCTAAACGTCAACAGAGGAGTTTAAGTTTGATCCTAAAAGGAACAGGGAATCGCAGGGAAGAGTTAATGAATGCCTAACCAAGGGTGGTGGCTGTGTGGGTGGAGAGGAGGGAATATGTGCGAGAAAGATTGTAGTGAGTAAAACAGTCTTTGGCAACTGATTAGATATGTGCAGTGATGGGAAATGTAAATTCAGGAAGACACTGAGGCTGTGGGTCTGGGTGACTAGAAAAATGGTGGTGGTCTAGACAGAAATAGGAAAGTGCAGAATAGGAGTGGATTTGCGAAGGAAGATAATGATTTGTGGTTTAGGCATATTGAGTTTAAGATGCCTTCAGGACATCCAGTTTAAAATGTCCATTCATTTCATAATGCTGGACTGGATCTCAGGAGAAAGATTTGAGCTTAACATATAAATCTGAAAGTAATCTGCATAGAGAAGGTAATTAAAACTAAAGTAGCTGTTGAGATCATTAAGTGGGGGAAAATATAGAGAACAAGAAGAGGTCCCAAAGTCTTGGGGCACACACCCAATAAATAGGAATGACATGGATGAGGAATCATTAAAGATACTGAGAAGGAACAGTCAGATAAGGAAAAGGAAAACCGAAAGAGAGAGAATGAAAACCCAGAGCAACTGCGTGCTCTGAAACTGAAATCAAGATGTTCAGAGATCATAAGATTTAGAGCAAGAGGAGACGGGGATTACCAAACCCAACCTGCTCATTTTACAGATTGGGTAACTAATGCTCAGAAAGGTTAATTGATTTGTCTAAGGTTACACAGATAACAGCTGGCATTCCAATTGGTATCCTCTGACTCCAAGTTCTTTATGCACAAATTAATATTATATGAAATAAGGGTGGAGGCCAAGGAAATGATCCCTGACCAATTCTCTCCTCCTTTCCCCAGCCCAAAATGTAATCAAAGAGTAAAAGGCAGATAAAGAGGTGTTGAGCTACATGTAAAAATTTATAGATGCCTCAATGCCCTGCATGCTTTGGGGGAGTATGAGAACACTG